CCCAGCTGAAATTAGCTGAAAGTAGCTGAAAAAAATTGCACCAATAACATAGGTCATAGCACTCTTCTCCTGAACGAGCTGAACATTTTGATGATTTGTTGAAATAGCACAAAAATTGTCGAACGAGAACGATGCTGAAATGGAAAAAAAATGGATCACAATATGTGAATGCTTCATAAGTATTCACATAACAAGACATCAGTTCATGTCATCACCCACCTGTTTGAAGACAGCCACAATGATCCCAGTCCCAAAAAGCTTTACAGTGACTGGTCTGAATGACTATCGGCCAGTGGCCCTCACCCCGATAGTCGCTAAATGCTTCGAAAAACTGGTCATGACTCACATCAAAACAACCATCAACATCAACGAGGACCCTCATCATTATGCATACCGTGAGAACCGATCAACAGAGGATGTCATCTCTTCTGTGGTCCACACTGCGCTCAACCACCTGGAGCAGAAAGACTCTTACGTCCGTATGCTCTTTGTGGACTTCACATCTGCCTTCAACACCATGATCCCCCAAACCCTGATGGACAAACTATTCATACTAGGACTAAGCCTCTCCATTTGCAACTGGGTACTAGACTTCTTAACAGACCACAGTTGATCCACAACTTCTTCTCCTCCATCGTAACCCTCAGCACTGGTTCTCCTCAGGGATGTATGTTGAGCCCCCTCCTGTTTACTCTATTCACGTATGATTGTGCAGCTACCCATCCAGGCTGTCACATTGTAAAGTTTGCAGATGATACAGTGGTGGTGGGATGCATCATAAACAATGATGAGTCCAGCTACAGGCAAGAGGTGGAACACCTGGAGAGCTGGTGCAAAGAGAATAACCTTCACATCAATGTGAAGAAGACGAAGGAGATGATTGTGGACTTCAGAAGGAACTAACACACCTACACCACCCTGAACATAAGAGGATCTGCAGTGGAAGTGGTCTCCAGCTACAAGTTCTTGGGTGTACACCTGAATGACAACCTCAGCTGGAGCAACAACACCACCAGCCTGATCAAGAAAGCTCATCAGAGACTCTACTTCCTTAGGCGGCTGAGACGAGCTGGTCTGGGAAGCTCAGTCCTCACCTCCTAATACAGGTGTGCAGTGGAGAGCATCCTGTGCTCCAGCATCAACGTGTGGCTTGGAGGCTGCACAGCTGCAGAAAGAAAAGCTCTGCAGAGAGTGGTGAAGGCTGCACAGAAGACTGTTGGAGTCAGTCTCCCCACCATCGCAGAAATCTACACCTCCAGATGCAGGAAGAGGGCCACCTGCATCATGAAGGACCCCACTCACCCAGCACACACACTTTTTGTCCCGCTCCGCTCAGTAAGGAGGTTGAGGAGCATTAAGTGTAGACCCACTAGACTGAGGAACAGCTTCTACCCTGAGACTGTTAGACTCATGAATATCTAACCAGAATAATCACTGTGAAAAAATCACATCATGTTGCTGCTGATCCGTTTCATGTTGCTGCTGATCTGTTTCATGTTGATGTGTTCATGCGTGCTCATCTGCTCATACAGACTCGTGCTCATGTTTGTGCTGCTGTTCAACGTAATGTTTATATGCTATTAGTGTTTAATGTATTTTTAGTTGATGTTTTTCTAGTTCATATCTTAGATCTTATTACTGTTTTTCTTTTACATTTTATTGTTGGATGTAACTGGGACCCTGTGTACATAATTTCACTCCACCATATGTACCACATGTGCTGCGAATGACAATAAATAATCTCTGAATCTGACTCTGATGTCCAGGATGACTAGCTGTCATTTGCAGGCAGACTCTGTTGCTATTGATTGTAAATGGACATAAACATGAACTCTTCACCCCGCTCCAGATCTGTTAGGACAAATGTGCACAAGAAATGAGAAGGTCAGAGCATACGATGGTTTTGTTCATTGAAAGGTTGTGGAGAAAATTTACCATTTCATGACCTACTTTCAGATTCCTGATGTAAAATCATGAAGAAAATTACACTAATTAGGTTGGATGTTTTGTTTCTTTGATTTTGCTTATTATATTTTCAAACAAAATTGAAGTGCTCATTTGTTATTTTTTTCCCCATACATGAGAGAAATAATAAATGAGGAAAAAAATAGTTTATTCTTGAAATCTCTGTTCTTAGTCAACGTAAAATATGTAAACATTGGAAGGCACAATTACATTCCCTTCAAAATTTTCCATCTGGATAATTTCTGCAGATACTCTTAATCTCTGTAGGAGACAGGAGGTGAAATATTTTACCTTAAATGCACATTTTTTACTTTGATCTTTGCTCGGACACCTATTCCCATAATTTCTCACCTATAGCTCTTTATTCATCACCTCTAACTGCCAAACTTATAATAATAATAGTATGCACTGCTGTTTGAATGACTTCCAGAAAGTAAAGGTCAACAACCTCACTTTACACAAACGTTTCTAATGTGTAATGCTTAAAACATAAAAAAGCAACCGATCCCAAAGGGAATAAAAAGCTCCAACACAGACAACAATCATTCCATCTCATAGATTCTTGTATTTTTGCCAACAGAACATCTTGCTGGTTCAGAGGCAGATGTTCGTAATTGATGATTCTCTGGACAACTTCCGTAAAGTTCTCAAGAGCTACATCGATGCCACCTCAGCCGACTCCGACAACTTGCAGTGAGTGCCTTTCTTATTCCAAATACAGCAAAAGCTCTTTCAGACCGTGTCAGGTTCTGCTGCCGCGGCACCTTTTCAAGCGTCGAACAATGCTGAATCAGGGCGGCTGAATTGTCAGCACTGCCAGAGCCGATGCAGAGAATGAAAGAATTTTTTATCAGCTTGTTTTGTGGTTACACAGAGTGCGAACAACTTGATAACGTGTATTGTTATAGTAATATTTATCAGTTTTACAAAGTAACAATCCCTTTTTTTCTATGAAAACAAGCTGTCTTGCTGTCTTTTCTTTCCCTAGACAGAATTTGATAATTCTCTAAAGAATAAAAAAGGTCTTATGCATTTCACTTCTTCTTCTTACCTCAATCTTTTTTTTTTTTTTTTTTGCTCTGTCAGTGTGTCTGTTCAGAAGCTCCCGGGAAAGTCGTGCTACATAATATATGAGTTCTGGCAAGATCGTATCTCCTGGATGAGGTTGGTACAGTGTGTGTGTCTCTATTAGATATTGGCAGACTGTTTGGCACTTTTGTACTTCTTGATGGAAATGTTCCCCCACCAGTGAGGATGAGCAGATGGCCCATATCTCTGTCCACACACAACATAGAACAGAACATGCAAACTCCACCCAGAAAGGCTCCTGGGCTGGGATTTGAACCAGGGACCTGCTTGCTGAGAGGCAGCAGGTCTACCAGCTGTGCCACCATGCTGCCCGACTTTCAGATCACTTATGTCTAATAAACTTGAGCTATGTGCTCTTTTAAATGTGTTCAGTATACCTAGACTGGGACTAACCTGTTTAAATAAAGGTTGAATGAAGAACAGCACAAACGTTCTTTTATCCATTTTTTTTTTCTGACACGTGATGGTTTGTATATTTCTGTGATGTCTCTGTAGTTATCTTCAGACCAACAGCAGCAAGGATTTCCAGCGCTGCGTCATTGACATGCTGGAGGACGCTGAAGTTGTTTCTACCATGTTGCTCCCAGGTTAGGATTTGTGTTTCGCTACTGCTTCCACACTCATACACATGAATCTACATTTTAAAGGAAACATTGCACGCCTTTTCTTTTTGAAATATATCATAATCCTGAGGTTTAAATAAAACTCATGTGACTTCTTGCTTGGTCACCATGCTGCAGAGTTACAGAACATGCGCTGCACTTATTTCCAGTTGATTTAAAGGTGTGGTAACACACCAGTCTCCAATTCTCTCCTTGTGTTTTGGTGTTTAGTTAAATAATCTCAGTAATTCTATAATTATGACGTGAACCAGCTGTGATAAAAACAAATAAATGCATCATCAAATGTAAATAGTTATTTAAAAATGATTCAACAGTTTAATAATGATTGTCATACTCCATCCATCCATTCATCCATTATCTTTTACCCGCTTCTTCCTTTTTGGGGCCACAGGGGTCACTGGTGTCCATGTCCAGCCATCACTGTGCAAGAGGTGGGGGACACCCTGGACAGGTCTCCAGTCCATCACAGGGACACATCGAGACAAACGAGACAAACAACCATTCACTCTCTGACTCACACCTAGGGACAATTTAGAGTTACCAATCAGCCTAACATGCATGTTTTTGGTCTGTGGGAGGAAACCGGAGCACCCGGAGAAAACCCACGCATGCACGGAGAGAACATGCAAACTCCACTCAGAAAGGTCCCTGGCCAGGATTTGAACCAGCGACCTTCTCACTAAGATGCATCAGCTCTACCAACTGAACCACCATATCCTTCAGGTTTTCTAAATCGGAAGGGCAGTAAACAAAAACTTAATTTAACACCTATATTTTCAGTTTAATTTCAATAGAAAATTAACTTTTTGTTTGTTTGTTTAATATCATCAAATATATAACACAGGACTATCTGCACAGCTATATTTCCAAAATGACTAAAACGGTGAAAGGAGGGTTTTATATTTGGAAAAGTGACTTGCACATGACGCACGCACACATTCTGCACTCTGCTCGTTATCACATCATTGACTGCAGCGCTCGGCACAGTCGCATGATTCACTGCCACTCGAGCTCAGGCCACTGCCGTGACGCTCTCATCTAGACTTTTGATTAATTTTTTTTGTCGGCGACTCTGAACTACATGCGCCTCGAAAAGCAGCAGCGTTGCTTATTATTTCTGCGTGTCTGCTTTCATTGGAGTGATGATGATTTAGCTTTGTGGGCTGCGTTAGTTTTGCTCGTTGCTAGGTTACTTTTTACACGTTTGTTGACTTCCACATCTGCGCCCGCCATGATTGCATCCTTACCACTTATTATAATAATATAATATTGATCATATTTGTAAGAATCACATGATGAACAAGAACTAAAAAAGAGCAAATTGGTTTTGTTTTAGGTAGTTTGTAAATGGAACCATATTTTAAAACAAAACTACCTCAAATCTTAGATGCAGAAAATACTTTAAAATATTATATGAAGGTATTTGCATGTGTGGTTTATAAGTCACTGTTTTTTATTTGATATTTTTTTAAATAATGCAGCTTTTTTGGTTAAAAAATATTAAATTAAATGGCTTCCAAGGTATTGTGTATCACGTTGCACTCATTTTGATGACGAGGGATGGTGGTTTATGAGATCCACATCAAAGAAGCAGGACAGGTCAGACCCTGGAGGCAATAATGGAAAAGCAAATAAAACACAACTTTCTGCTGCTTCAGAAAGGTGCCGTGAAATATTATTTATTGTGCTGAAAGGTCACAAGGACCTGCCTTCATTTCTTTTTCTCGGAAAATGTTGCACAAGCAGGCAGGTGTTTATAAAGACATATTTCTTATCAATATTCAGCTGACAATGCTTCAAAATCATCTAACATGTTTTTTTTTTTTTGTTGTTGTTGTTTTTTACTTATAGATGGATTTAGCCTAGAGCATGTCCTTTTATGAACACATTTATAATTGGCTTTATTTTTTTTTGTGTGAAATTTGAGCTGGTTAGTATCTTTCTTTTATCTGTTTAGTATCTGAATATTAAAATTTATAATAAATGAGTCATAAAGGCTGAAAACAGGGTTCAAACATGCAGTGCACTCCTGCTCAATGCACGTTTAACAAAACAAACAAAAATATATATTTTTGAGGAGCTCATGAAAATACAAAAGAGCATTTACTAAAAAATGTTGAGTATTCGCTGAATGTTTTGGTTTTGGTAGACTTAAATTAAATTTAGCTTGCACACAGTAACAACAGAACATGTGCGCACATTTAGACATCTTATTTGTACCTGTTTTTTCCGGCGTATAAGTCGCTCCAGAGAATAAGTTGCATCAGTCAAAAAAAAAGCATCATGAAGAGGAAAATATATATAAGGCGCATTTATTTTGCGTCACCGCTGACCCGTCGCGTTTATTATGTGTTTATTTAATGGCCAAAACAGCTTAATTTCACCTGGGCGGCGTGGCGCCATCCATCCATCCATTCATCCATCCATCCATTCATCCATCCATCCATCCATCCATCCATTGTGGCTGGAGCTGTGAGCTCTCCATCGTTCCTCTACCTGCACCACCTGAGTGAAGTGAGTTTGCACAGGAGGACTCACTGTTGTAGTTCAAAATTTAAAGCATCAGTCAAAAATGATGTTATGAATATGGAAAAAAAAAGTACAGTATATGTCGCTTTGGCGTATAGGTCGCAGGACTTACAAATCTGTGTAAAAACTGTGACTTATATGCCGGAAAATCCAGTAGTTTAATTGCTTCTCTCCGTTAAGTTGTAATTTTCCAACATGTTTCTTAGGCTGGCTGAGATAAATGGGTGTGATTTGGAGAAATCAGAGTCAGAGAGTCAAAGTCAGAGTTTCTTTATTGTCGTTCCACCACATGTAGTACATGTGGTGGAACGACACAGGGTACACAGGGTCCCAGTTACATCCAATAATAAAATGTAAAAGAAAATCAGTAATAAGATCTAAGATATGAACTAAGAAAAAACATCAATTAAATATACACTAAGCACTAACAGCATAAAAACAATATGCCAAACAGCAGCACGAACATGAGTCTGTGTGAGCAGATGACCACGCATGAACACCCCAACATGAAACAGATCAGCAGCAACATGAAACAGATCAGCAGCAACATGATGTGATTTTTCACAGTGGTTATTCTGGTTAGAGATTCATGAGTCTAACAGCCTCAGGGTAGAAGCTGTTCCTCAGTCTAGTGGTTCTACACTTAATGCTCCTTAACCCCCTTCCTGAGGGGAGCGGGGCAAAACGTGTGTGTGCTGGGTGAGTGGGGTCCTTCAGGATGCAGGTGGCCCTTTTCCTGCATCTGGTGGTGTAGATGTCTGGAAATCAGGAAATTAATTAAATATTAGCTAGATGAACACATTTTTAAATAACTCCTATAAACAGTACTGAACACGAGTTAAGCAACACATGAGTGTGACGTGGGCTTCATTCTGTTTTTCTCTCTCTGTTTGCGTTTCCTCAGCTTCCTGGTGGATTATGACTAACAACTGAATCGACTGTCACATCCACAGCCTGCAGAGTCACACGGACTTAGACGCCCTGGTGCATCGTCCCACCTCCCCATATGCACTCTGACACACACACCCACACACACATATTCAGTGAGGAATTAAAAAGGTTTATGGATATTTCAACACAAATAATTTTGCATCTGCATTTGCTAATGTTCCAGTTTCTGATCCCTCCTTTCTTCTTTTTTTTTTTTGTGCCGCTTGTGTAAAAAGGCTTTGCTGCAGTCCTTGGACTGTATGTACGTAAACTCAAAGTAGCTGTTTATGTGTAATGCAGAAGACCTGTTCTGAATCTTCCAGTTTTCTCTGACTTGTGCTATGGCCTCCTTTCTCTTGAAGTATTTGCTTGATATTATGCTAATAGAGAACAGCCCAAAACACACAAGGCTATTAGATTTAACTATTTTGTAGTGCAATGATGGATTTAGCAGTTGGGTGCATTTATTACTTGTTGAAAAATAAGCATCAGTATGTGGATATGAATAAAACTGGATCCTATATGTCCATGTTGATGTAAATATTGTATAATACTGAAGCATGGTTTTGCTTTCAATAAACAGTCCTTTTGTCATGTTCACATAATTTAAAAATAATATGCTACTGTTGCTTATCTATTGCTAAATGTACAAGTGTTCAATTATTATACCACTTACAATTTTTCAATCATCGATGAGCCACAGTCTTCAATCTCAAATGTAAAAAGGTACGTCTTTAAAAATGTGCATAATAAAGAAAACGAATTATTTAGAAAAGTGTTCATGGTTGTTGCTAAGTTATAACAGAAGAATATCTGCGTTAATTTCTATTTTGTTCACAGTAGAGTTTTTATCTGTACATACAGAATTGACAAACTGGAGCGTGTGTAAATATTTCTGTTGTGGTCGGCACCACTGAATGACTGAAAACTATAATAAAAGTGTTGCAGATTCTGTGTTTGTTTGAAAGATTGCTTTAGGGTTTGACTGTATTTTAATTATACATTCAGCTACTTTGAAGCATTTTATTAGCATTGGCTGATTTCAATAATCTCATATTATTTAATTTAGTTCAGATAATTTATATTAAATTACACCATCAATTCACAACCTAAAGGTCATAAACAGCTAAATTAACCAGTTAAAATCACATACAATTTCTAAATAATTCTATTTCAGAACAGTTATTTTCAAAGCAGCTCTACATTTATAAAAAATTAAAAAAAACTCATGCCTTTTTTTTATTATTTTTAAAATAATCTATTAAAGAAAAATGGTAAATCAGTTTAGGTTTGTGAAAGCGAACACAGAGGTTTGAGATTTATCTTCTTCATCTAAAGCAAAGTTTTCTCAAAGAGCTCCATATATTGGTCTATATTGAGTTTCAGCCTCATAAATATAACATTTAAAATATTGTCACCAAATAAATGAATAAAAACGCTCTAAAAATGCTAAGTACTCTTCCTTATCTGCACCAAACCTCTGACAAACACAGTGAGAAACTAAATGACATACAGACTGGAGGATTCAGCAGTTTGTTTCCACCAAACGTTAAGAAAATAGAGCAAAAAGAAAGTTGCATGCTTTCAAATGAATTCTAATGTTTCATATTGTGTACTAACCGTACACATCCTGGTCCTACTGTGAACCATGACATGGGCACAAAATCAAAACCATTATAAAGACAAAAGTGCCAAAGCTAAACAAATTAACTTTTGATGCCTAAATCAAACGACATACGTTAAACAGTGATGGAAAATTAAAAGATTCTAACACAAACTGACCACGAATAGTATTTATTTATACCTGAGATAAACACAGTTTTCATATAAAACAGTGTCAGACACTTTCATATTTTACTTTGTATCAATTTATGCCAACTGAAGGAGTCTCCTCTCAATTTCTTACACTGTGGTGAAAATGTGCCTCAGCTGGATTAAACTGGTTCGTCTTGGAGCAGCCTCATTAAACAGAAGTCATCTCAGGGCACTGAACAGAAACATTCATATACATAAAACGTAAGTTAATAACATGATTTATCTGAGGAGCAGACTGCTTTGAGTTTAATGCCATCACAGAACTCTCATCCTGAGCAAGCATGAAGGCGACAGTGGGAAGGAAAAACTCCCTCATGAGGAAGAAACCTTTAGCAGAATCAGGCTCAGGACAAGTGACCATCTCCTTCGACCAGCTGGGTTTGAGAGAACAGGAATGAGATCCCAGTTCCAAAGGTGTTTTAGCAGCAGCCCCCATTGACCAAAAGTGTAGCTGTGCTTTCCAGACCCTCCCAGACATTTTCACAAACATCAACACAGATTTGCATTTCATTAATAATAAAATGTAATAAAATGATTTTACAGGAAATCATTTGGATTCATTAACTCATCCCAGAGTTGCATGACTTGGTACCCCCTCCGTGTCTATTTCAGCCTGAACTTTGAAAACCAATTGACAACAGAGTTGAGCCACATGCACGCAATTTACATCTTAATTCTAGTCTCCAATGACTCATTTCAAAGGCTGCGTTACTGCAGTCATTTATTCTTATCAACACTCCTAACCCTCCTATGCCTTCATATGACAGGTCTTTCTCCGCACCAGCTGAGAAGCAGCTATCAGAGCGTAATTATATCAAAACGCCATCATCCAGTCTTTTTGTCTGTGCAAAAACCCCTTGTATATGGAGGGTGATAAAAACAACTTTATATAAAGGTAAGGGTCAGGTGAGAAATGTGCAGAAATGATCATGTCAGTCTAAATTAAATCGTCACAGTGAAAATACCGTGATCTTACAGCTGAACTTTAGACCTTCAACTGTAAAATGAGAGTTATTTCCAAGGAAAATAAGGCCAGGAAAGTGGTAGAAGTTTTGCTGACAATCAGAGAAAAGACACACCCACTCAGCAACTGGGCAGCTGGGTTTCATGAGTGGTTCTAAAATGGTCATTATGGCTCTCTGTGTATGATGATAACTGTCACATGTAGTTTCATCACAATAAACAGCTATCTCTCGCTGGGAGAAAAATAAAGAGACACTTTTTTTTTATCTTCACGCTGCTGCTTTATACATTCTTAGGCGGTAATGTACAAAGTACTAAAAGCCTTGAGAGCAAGGACAATCTTTAAAGCGACATCAATTACTCTGCCTCCAGCAAGAAGCTTGAATAAAAAGCTGTTGCCAGACATTCAGCACAATCAATCAAACATTTTCCTGTATATTGTGTTGGGAACTAGAGATTGTGCACCGCACAGTAAGATGCTTTGCTTTTCACAAAACAAAACAACAAAAAAAACTCCCACAAAATAGCACATCAACACAAACAAACTGTCGCTGTTTGCTGAATCCACTTCTGTTCTGAGCAGACTTTTGGCAAAAGAATGATCAAGTTAAAAATAACAGGACAGACACAGGAAGAAGAAGACAAATCTAACAATCTGCACCAGAATAAAGTACAGTATTTACATCCATTTAGCTCAGAGGCTTAAAGCAGGAAAAGTCCATCACATCAGCAACATGTATTTAGAACATTTTGTTGTCCTCGTTGAGTCCAACTAGCTTCTCGGGTAAAAACCAATGCATCAATCCTGTTACTACAAACGCAGCAACTCTGACAGCAATTATATCTCCAGAACAAATGAGTCATGTTTCATTTTTAGACCAACTCCAGTGTAAACACTTTGATTATGTTATTTGCCATAAACAACAGAGCCAAACAGCATTAGCTGCTTTGGTGTGTTGCTAAAAGCTAAACTCAGTAGATGCAAACTATATTTGTGATCAAATGTAACTAAAGCCATTTTAAGTTTTAATTACTTAGTTTAGTTTAGTAAGAAAAAAAAAGAAAACTCACTGCAATGCCACTGTAATTGGTAATATGTGACTTATCTGTGCTGCTGATTATCCATGCTGCTGATCTCATGCTGCTGATTATCCATGCGGCAGATTATCTCATGCTGCTGTATTAATTCGTATCCAATCTGCTCACCATAGACTCATGTTCAGGCTGCTGTTACGTCGTATTGTTTTACATTATTAGTGTTTAGAGTATATCCTGGATCTTTTATTGTACCGTCTGGTGTTCGTTTAGCATTTATCTTAGTGTATATCTTGGATCATTATTTCTTTTTATACTTTATATTTTGCTATTTTTGTGAGTTACTGGGTCCCTGAGTACATAATTTTGTTCCACCTCATGTACCAGATGTGATGCAAATGACAATAACGTTGAATTTGAACTTTAGTTACATACAAGCACATTGGCATGCACAAGAAGTGTTTTGTTGATCTTGAGCTTGTATGCTCTGAAATTTATTTCCAATACGCTTTAAACCAAACTGGGCTCCTGCAGGACCAAGATTAACCACAATGTGAACGTTACATTCATATGGACTCAGATTCCTCTGAAATGGCAATTATTCCACCAACCGTTCATTTAATCTTCTTAAAAGTTGCATTTAGTCAGGTTTTTATTCTGACCTATTGCACTACAACTTTTGTTCCATTCAAACAAAAGAAAAAATATATACATTAATGCAAAAAATAATGTGTTGTGCATTATGTCAGCCGGAGCACTACAGTACTGTATGTTAATGTGCAGACTCGGGTTTTGGTCTCTGCAGAGCTGCAACAGAGGGACATGTGGTGCACTATCTTGCACGCAGTGAGAATAGCAATGCCGCACACATTCATTGTTATTTTAACTGAATAGTTGCTGCAGATAAACAATTTGTTGATATGTTTTGTGCCTCTGCATTCTGAGAATATGACAAGCTCTGCATATCAATGAAAGTGCACATTTCTCCTTACACTCAGTGTGTTTTGATGGAGATGCATAATTCCTGAACTTCTTCAAATTGTTTGTGCCAATTTTGAAAACCACACATACACACACACTCACACAAGTGTGCACAGAAAAGAGGCTGCATGGCAAATCATTGCTTTGATAGTTGGTGCTGGACGTTTTGATGACATGATTAATACAAGCAAATAGAAGCGCTTGCATCTTTCCTCTCAGGCAGGCTGTCTTTTGAAAGGGCAGAAAACATAACCAGGGGAAATGAGGCTCAACCCATGTGTGTCCACACAGCGCAGAAAGCCTCATCAATCCTTAATTAAAAAAAAAATAAAAACACTAAAGCGTCACCACAAGATCCGCAAAACAAGCGATTGCAA